CTTTTTTTTTTTTTTTTTTTGCCACTCTGAGTTTCTGGCACTCGTTGTTATGATATGGGGATTCCTGTTCCCCACAATGCTGATTGTCTTGATTCAGTCTAAGGGGCTAAGTGAGGTGGGGAGGGGTGTCAACTCTTTCCAAGTCTCAAGGTGACAGAGGCCCAGGTGTGGTCACCCTAGTTAGGAAGCACCTGGTCTCAGAATGGCAGCTGAGCCTGCGCTCACAGGCCTGCCCTGCGTCTCCCTCTGCCTCCTTTGCACGTGGAGCTGCTTCCTCTGATGGCTGAGACCACCCAGGAAGAATCAATTGCCTGTTGTCCACTGAGGACTCCAGTTACTTTATATTATGCTCTGAATTCTGTCTCACCCTCACTGGATAGCTGCAACTGACCTTCCCCCAGCCCACGCCTGTCATTGGTGTTCGAGAACACGGAAAACCGTGAGTATGTGGCCTGGAAGAGATCTTAGCATTTGTTGCACCATGTGCCCAATGTCACGGAGTCAGTGAAAACTAAGACTAGAATGCAGATGACTGAAGGCCACTAACTGATGTGACACACTGATCTTGACTGCATCCCTCACCAGACTCAAGTGAGAGGAACTCCTGAGGACCATGCTCCAGCTGGCACTGTGCAGCCGGGAGGCCCTTAGGCTGGACCCGATCCATGCCTGCATTTCTCTTCCCCCAGCTCCGTGCCTTGGCCATTTGCATGTGTCTCCATCCTAGACATCATTTTCTTCCCGTGCTAATTGCTTTGTTGTAATTCTTTGGAGGTAATTTTCTTCTGTTCCCTCGTTTCTGCAGTTAACACCCTCCAATTAATTTCATAGCTCTTGAAAGTTCTCCCACAAGTTGCCCTAAAACCCTCCCAGTGTAACTGTTGAGTGTGATCAGCGTCTCCCAGCGGCACGGTTTCCCAACCCCACCCTCTGCCTTGAGATGCTTTGTGCAGGAGAACCCCAGGAGGGGCCTCAGTTTAGAGAGGAAAACCCAGGCTCAAAGAATAAAGCAGTCCAGGATAGACGCAACTGGGGTTTGAGCCTCCAGCTCCAGCTGCCACTGAGCTAACAGCTGCTATCATGTCGGGGAGTGTCCACGTGGCTGTCAGTTGTTAGGTGCACACCTGTCTCATTGGGGGCCTCAGGGGAACTTGATGGCCCCGCCGGTCCCTCCTCTGGTGATTCTGAAGAGCCCATCCTGTGTTCCACTTGGAGGTGCTGCCTGGCATGCAGGAACTGAAACCCAGGGTCTTGGCAATCTGCACGGACAGGTGAAAGACAGGCAGCCATGACATCTCAAGAGGAGAGGGGGGAAATCCCACACCAACGACATTTGCAGAGAAGAGAAAAACGATTTCAGATTCTATTTTCCCATCTCTCTCAGCAATCCCCTGGCGGTATTTTATCTAGTAAATAGGAGGTCTAGTTGTTATTCTCAATTATGATATTAATTCTCCCAGTGACCCTGGGCTACTTTCCTTCCTTCTCAGAGCCTGTTTCTCTCTGTCACCACCTGCTCAAGGACAAAAAGATGTTCTCGCAGGAAGGAGCAGACCTGGGCCTCATTACCCAGCAAGCAGTGCAGACAGGGCTAAGGGGTGGCCTGTGAGGGGTGGGCAGATGTTCCCTCTCCTTTATCCCTGTTGCAGTGCCCTCCCCGTTTATCGCCACAGACTCTCTGTGCCCATCCCTGCCCGGGCCTGCTTCTCCCTCCTTCCCAACCCCTGGCAGCAAGTTCCCAGCCAGCTGGCCTCCAATCTCACGGCATGGGGCTGCTTTGATATTATTTTCTTATTTTTTTCTCCAGCTATCTCCCCTCCTTCAGAGGCGGGGGACGACAAGGTTGCCACGGGTAATTGGCCTCAGATTTGTCTCCCTCAGCATTCAACGACTCCACTCCCTCTCCCTCTCATTCCCCCACCCATCGCCTTCATCCCATGTGGTTCACTAAGCCATCTGGAACTGGGCCCAGAATTCCCTTCTCCCCCATGTGTGAGCAGGTGTGAGCGGGGAAGGCCGGTCTGAGCACCATGTGGGAGGCCCAGGCTTCCCCCAGCATGGGCCACCAGATTCAGAAAGATCTCTTCAGTGACAAGGGGGAAACACTCCAATAATAACCTGCAGAGACCCCGGGCTGACAATCTGCAAATACAGATGAAAACACGTCCCTGATGGGAAGTCTAATGATTTTCTCTCTCATTCAGAACGGAAGACTAATTTTCAAATATTGGTCACTGGGAAGGGAAGGGTGTCGGTGGTGCCGGTCCAGCCTGAAGAAGACAGTTCCTCATAGCTAGAGCTGCTGGCCAGCTCTGCTAGCCCAAAGCCCAGAGCAGCAGCCCGTCTTGTGGGAGGAGGTTGATGCTGGTTTATCACCCACATTTCTCTACAGATTCAGGGACAGTCTCTGTAGGTCGGGGGTTTCTGTCACTTGAGACCTTCAGGACAGCTCTGCACTATATCACCTCCTGAGACTCGGGGTGCAGTCACAATACTTAACAACCCATGGGGCATCAGGCTATCGCAGGGATAGAGCAGGTCTGGTTGACTCTGGGGACCTGAGGGGACCAGAACTTTCAGGACTGAGACACTGAGCCAACATCCTGGTACCCAAAGGGGCAGTCAGTGTCCACCTGAGACAGGGGACATTTAGTGTTTTAGAGGCCAGGCTGGGCCAGCAGGTGCCTCAGATGCTCTTCAGCACCACACACAGCTGTGGTCTGGTTTGCCTCCCACAGAGCTGAGTCCTTCCCCCTCTGCATCAGCCTCTGCCCACAGACCAGGGGTCTCTAGAAAATGAGCCACTGCACTTGGGAGTCTCCTGCTTGGCCAGCCTCCCTGGCCTCAGCCTCTTCATCTCATGTTGGGGACAATCTTAGTTCCTGGAGCCTTGGAAGACAACCCTTGCTCCGTGCTTGGCCTGTAGCTGGGCAAAAGAAGATGTTCTGACTCCCAAAGCAGGTGGCCAGGTTCAGGGGTGGCAGGAAGGACATGGACACTGTTCCCTCTCCTGTCCATTCAGGGGGCTGCTGCCCAGAGGGCTTTCAGATGACAGTCAAGATGGACAAGCACCAGTCCTCACTGCAAAGTCGGGGAACAGGAAGGGAACTGGGGTGACTGCTGGGTGGGGGACGACGGTTCTGGAGGAGACATTGTTATGGGGCTCTCAGGCCTCACTTTCTTCCTGTTCAGTGAGAGTCACAGAAGCTGAGCCCTGGAAAGAATGACTCCAGCAATTCTGTTGCTTCAGGCAGGACTGTCTGCTTACAGGGACACACCAAGCTTCTGAGGATAGAGCCTTTATCAAGCCCCCCCTCCCCCATGGAGCCCACCTGGCTCTATGGCTGGTACCTCACATTCCTGCCTCAGTTTCCCGGTCTGTGAAACGAGGTGGGGGGGGCAGAGTGACTTCCCTATTGACCCTCTCTGCATCTTGTTTCTCAGGGAATGGGAGGCGTCTTGCCTCAGCCTCATTCACAGAGCATCTCGATGGGAGCTATCACAGACCGAAGCCTGCCCTGCCTCACCAGCTGCCACTATGGACTGGGCAGTGTCACCTGCTGGGGTGGAAAGGCTGTGCAGCCAGAACATAAAGGCTCCAAGCTGGACCACTTTACACCCATGTGACCCTGGGCGCATCCATTCTAGGTATTGGGACAACGCTGTCTTCCTGTTGGGATGGTTCCTGTTCTCCAGGGGCCAGGGCACAGACAATAAAATCACAAATTAGTGACACCAACAGGCAGAAAACATTGTATCTGGGGAAGTGACAGCGTGGAGGGAGGAGCGGCCTCACTGTTAAGCTGTTACCTGAATGCCATGTTCTGATGTGCGTGCCAACAGAGGGATTAGGGGGAAGAAGCAGCCGTGCAAGGGCCCTGGGGTGGGCACAGGTGGATCGAATAAGGCCTCAGACGGCACAGGAGCAGAAGAGGACAGGGGAGGGGAGGTCCGCAGCCGGCAGATACTCGGGGGCCTCTGGGGTTTATTCTGAGCAGATGGGAAATTCATCTTAGCTGGGAGAATTAAACGGGGGTCAGTTAAGGCGATCCCCGGGGGGGGGGGGGGGGTCCGGGTTAACGCCAGGTGAGTGTTCTCTTTGTCCTCACCCGGTGACAGCTCCACCGTGCTGAGGCACTTCAGTCACATGGGGACTTGGGGTCCCAGATGTCAGGATGTGTGTGAGACCTCTGGGTTCTCTGTGACTGGTGCAGGATGGCTGCACAGCATACTCTTCTTTGTTTGCTCAAACCTAAAACATGGGCTCAGCTTTCCAGGGCTTCAAGGTCCTTGAAGGAAGTGCCCCAGAGAGGGATCTGCAGGATCCCTTTGGGGAATGCCTGCTCCCCGCCGCCAGGCATGGATTGACCAGCCACTTGCCTGAAGGGTCCTGCCAGCCCTCTCCAGAGGCTTGGCTCTGGAGACAGGAGTGGGCTGCGGGAAGGAGGAGCGGGAGAAGGAGCGGGAAGGAAGGGTGCAGAGACAGTGCGTGAGGAGGGAAAGACTTCTGTTGCTATGGAGGGAGCTGCAAGGTATTCTGGGACCAGCGTTCGAATTTCAGAGGGGCAGGGGCAGCACGGGTGGCTGGGGATGGCGATGGGAGCCAGGGTCATTCTTCTGTCCTTAGTGCTTCCCCCGTATCCCAGAAGACAGTGAGTTCCCACCCCTCTGCAGCAGGCCTGGCCGCCCACCCCCATCTAGCCCCGCCCCTGGCTAGCCCGTCCCTGTCCCATTGGTCTGCCTTTTGTACAGACGGTAGCAAGCGGCCCCTTTCCAGGAGGCCTGTTTGCCAGCATGACAACAGCAAATTAGTGCTCTTAAAAAGCATTCAGCGTTTATCCAGCAAATGCGCTCGCTGCGAAGGGGGCCTGTTATGCCTTCTCCCCGAACCTGCTGAAAGGGGGGTGTGGTGCATCTTAATCGACTTCCTTCACCCACCACATTAAATGCATTTAATCTACTCTTGCAAATGGCTAATTCTGAAAATCCGCTTATCAGAATTAGGTCCTCAGCATCCATATTTATTTACGTTTCATTTTCATAATTTTTTTTGTCCCCATGTGTGTGCCTGAATTCTGTTTTCTATTGTCTGGCTGTATCTTACAAGTCCAGGGTGGACAAGGACCAGGTAAGGAACAGATTGGATGTGGGAATGAGGCAAGGTTGCCAGGGTGGGCTTAGGGATGAGAAGAGGATGACCGACTTGATGGATCCCAGGCTCTTGGGGCAGGCCTCCATTAGACCAGGGTAACAGCAGCCACAGCGGAAGCACACAGAAGGTCCTTGTAACCAACTTTCTTTCCTGGTGTCTTCTGGGGACTAAACATCAAACTCGATCCCGGGTGCTTGGTTGGCACTGCTCAATGAGAGCTAGCTACATGATGTAGATAGGACAACTCAATATCCAAACCACACACCTTCTTCTTGGTGTACTGCCAACTGTTCAAGGGCCGTTTCTCCATCTGAGAGCTTGAACGTAGGCCATAGCGGTGAGAAACAGATTCAAGGGAAAGAAGGGAAGAGGGCTCGTGAGCTTGCAGCTTGACTGTAGATCCCGCACTTGGCCTTCCTAACCACATCCAAAGTTGACAGGGGCAGCTAAAGAGCTGTGAAGAGCAGCCTGGCCATCACACATGAACTCACTCCTTGTAGTCAACCATCCCCTTATATAAGAGTGTATTCAAAACATGCTAGAGCCAAGAAAGCAAAGACCAACCTGACTTGCCTTTGGCGCTTACTGGGCTCCTCCAGTGTGCAGTTGTGTAGCATGTGGACGAGGACGGAGAAGGTCTGCCTCTTGTTCACCGTGGACTTGGGAAGAAAGCCTCAGAGCAACACAGCAGTAATACTCACCAAGGGGAATAGCAACTGGACAAGGACTGCTATTCTCTCAAAGAACAGCTGACTTACTTTTGTGACGACTTTAAAAAAAATTTAAGACTCAGAAGAAATCAACTTTTTTTTTTTTTTTTTGGTTGGAAGAGGACTTGCTTAGTTAAATCTTGGTTGTTGGGCTCCGAGTTGGATTGTCTACAAACCTGCTTCCCAGGCTGCAGCTTCGTCATGTTAGCACGTGTGTTTGGGAGTCTGGAACCCTCAGATCCTCGTGTGTAGAGTGGGCGGGGCACCGATGACGAACACCTCCCACAGCTGTGTGAAGAATGAAGTTAATGCTGCAGGGTGGCACTTTCTTGTGCCAGACTTGATGAGGACACACAATTAGTAATATGTGGGCTGGGGGTGTAGCTCAGTGATCGAGCACTTGCCTGGCATCTATGGAGCTAGGGTTGGAAGACCCAGTCACACACACACACACACACACACACACACACACACACACACACACACACACACACAATGTGTAAGCATTTCAGTCAAACCCAGGAAACATAGTCACTGACAGAGAACAAACAATGACCTGATGTTTTTCCAACATAAAAAGTGAAGCCACCCAACACCTGAAAAGCTCACTAAGCAGTGGCTTCCCTACCCTGGTGCCAGGAGGTGGGAGAATAGTGAGGCAGACAATTGACTTTGTCAGGGTTAAGAAGCCCCCTCCATGCTCTCTTCAACCCCTTGTTTTTCCTTGGAGTTGACTGATGTCCCCAAGCGTACACCAGAGCAAGTCTCTTTAGCCACAGCTACCTGGGAAAACAACTTCTTGTTTTTAATTTTTATTTTACTCATTATTAATCCATGTATTTTGTGATTGATGGGGCAGCATATGCCATGACTTTTGTGTGGAAGTAAGGACAATTGTATGTGGGTCCCAGGGATTGAACTCAGGGCTACAGCAAGCACCTTACCCACAGAGCCATCTCACTGGCCCAATCACTTGTTTGGAGAATACAAATTTCATTCAGTCCCTGGTAAGAAAGTGCCGAGAGGAGCATGCCATGGTGCAGGCTGAGGGAGTGTGCACATGTACACTGGAGGAGTGCCTGCAGTGCATGCTGGGAGATTTGTGACTGAAGGAGCTGTGTGTGCACAGAAGCCATCCACGGAAAGGGTATTGTTCAAGGGAGTGACGCACTTGGTAGGAGCAGCTCCTCTGGTGTCCACATAGAGTCAGGCCCTCCCTTCTGAGCATTCTGAAATTGGGAGGGAAGCTGGGAAATAAAAGAGGCTGCTGGGGAGCTTGTTGGCACATTCTCTATCATGAGTTCTCAGGGGAAAAATTGTAGTGTACTAGAGAGGTAGGTGGCTCATTGATTATGATAACTGGTTGCTCTTCTAGAGGATCTGGGTTCAAATCCCAACACTCACATGGTGGCTCACACCCACCTATAATTCCAGTTCCAGGGTATCTGATGCTCTCTTCTGTGAGCACTACATTCATTACATATATATATATATATATATATATATATAGGGCTAGGGTCTCCAAGAAATAAGATGTGGAAGACCAAGCCATGATAGGATGCCCTAGAGGGTATGTTTGCTTCCTTCATGTGTGTGTGTGTGCTTGTGTGTGTGTGTGTGTGTGTGTGTGTGTGTCTGTGTGGCTGGGGGTCTGTGTGACTGTGTGTGTGCCTGTGTGCCTGTG